AGTCGGTTAACCATCCAACTCTTGGTTTTGGCTCAGGTCATGATCTCACGGTTTCTTGGGTTTGAGGCCCGCACCGGGCTCTGTGCTGACAGCGTGGAGCCTGCTTGGGATTCTGCCTCCCATTCTCTCTGCCCTTCCCCCACTCGCCCTGCCTCTGTCTGTCTCAAAATAAATAAACTTAAAAAGAGAGAGAGAGAGACAATTCAGTACAATACCAGGCACATATTAACTACAGTTCTATGATATGGCCACAATATGACACATGAGCAGACTGAGGCTCAGAAAGGGCAAGTGACTGCCCCAGACCCCACAGTGGCCGGAGCCCAATAACTGGGAATCTCCTCTTTGATCACGTTAGAGTACGTCTATTGTTCTCTCCTGTCTCATCTAGAGAATCATGTTTTTCCTACGACTTTAAGGAAAGGACAGTAGATTGTTTTTTTGTGTTGTTTTTTTTTTTTTTCTCTTCTCTCCTAGTCTACTCAAAAAATACTTATTGAACTGAATCAGTGGTTTCAATTCCAGAAGCAAAATTAATCCTTTCCCTCCTCCTCCAGCGCAGAGATGGCTTTTGGAAACCCTGTGTCACTCCCTTTATTACAAACTCTTCTGCCCTCCTCCAGGCGCCTGGGCCACTCCGGGATTACAAATGGAGCCTTCTGCCTCTAGGTCACTGATTCCGCTACCATCTGTCAGCACGGATTGATTGAGGAGACTGGCCTGCTCGGCAGATCAGTGACTTGTGCGAAGTGAGCCGGGTGTCAGTGCCTTCAGCGGCAGGCGGATGGCCTTTCCCTCCCTCTCTGGCTCTGAGGCACACGTGTGACCACCCTCACCTTTATCCTTCACCGGTCCCCAGCTCTCCTTCCTCTCTGGAGGTCCCTCCTGCTAACTCTAGCACACCAAGTGGGAAGCCTGGAATGCCGGCTCCCGGACCTCCAGGAGACAGCAGTTTGCAAAAGCCTCGGGTTAACAGAGTGAGAAACCCCCCACAGCGTCCTGCAAGGGGGGGTGGGGGGGGGCGGTCCCAAGCCAGGCACAAAACAGCAGGAGTGGACAGATCCTTTGTGGACATGCCTTCATTGCACACAGAGCAGTTGGCTGTGTGCTAGGCTGTTAAGTCCTGATGGAGGGAGGGAGGGGCTCAGACAGAGCAAGTCCTTCTGGGACAAGGGCAGGGCAGGCTCTAAGGCTAAGGGGATAGGAAAAGCTCCAAACGGGCCCAGGGCATACGAACACACATCAGTGTGTGCGCGGCCACCTGCTGTTCCCAGGAGGGCCTTGCCCGGCGCAGACACAAGGAAGGAGCAAGGAGGATGGAGAGGTGGGCGAGGGTGGATTCCTACAGGGCCTTGGCATGAATTTGTTTCATAGGGTCTCACGGTGACTGACCTCTGCTTAGGAGGTGCACTCCTCAATCCTCCCCTCCACCCCAGCCCTCCAGGATCAAAGCTGTGGCCCCCTCCTCAGCTCCCACTGGTTGCGTGGCGCCGTTTGTGACTGTATCCATCTCTCCCACAGGGCTGTGCGTATCTGCAGGGCAGGGACAGCCTATGCAGGGCAGGGCACCATATCCATAAAAATGGTAACGATAATCACAGCCCAGAGGGACCCAAGCTTACTGGGAACAGGCACTGTGAGTTCAGGTTGGTATCGTTATCACCACCATTACAGAGAGGGCCAGAGAGATTCACTGGTCCCAAGTCACATAGCTTGGAAGAGGCCGAGCTGGGATAGGAACCCAGGTCTTTAGAGGCTGCACTCTTAACCACCAAGCTTCCCAGCATTTGAAAAACACTGGACGGGTGCAGACTCAGTCGTAGAGTCCCAAAGTCTACTGGCGGACAGGGAAAGAGATGTGAAAGGGTCTACCGGGTCAGCACCAGTCTTTCCCCAGAGTGACACGCCAAAGCCCCAGAGACGGGACAGTCTGCAGGCGATGGGCTCTCAGACCCCACACCCAGAAGATCGCGGCCCGCCCAAGTAGCAGCTGCTGTGCAGCAACTCCCTCCTCCCACAGGTGAGCAGAGAGAAAACACCGGAGGAGACACAGCTGTGCCACTGGAGGCCCCCTGCAGCCGGGCCACAGGGGAGATCATCCCTCCCACTTGGCACTTCTTTCCCTAGTGGCTCCGCTCTCCCTGGGCAGCCCCTGGCATGACAGCCTAGCACAGGTCACTGAACTAGGGGCCCAGCCTGGTCTCAACAACGTACGTCCTTCAGTAAATCATCCAATGGCTCAGGATCTCCATCTCCCCCTCTGGAAATCGGAATGGGTGGGAGGAGGGGCTGAGTGGTCTGCCTGCCTCCGGGGAGTCGGGTCCCTTTACCTGGGCAACCCCATTCACTCCTCCAAACAGCCTTATGAGGCAGGGACTGTTATCTTCATTGACAGAGCAGGAAATGGACACGCAGAGATGCTAAGAGATTTGCCTGCGGTCACACAGCTAGCAAGCGACAGAGCTGGAATCTGAACTCAGCCTTCTGCCTCCCCTGAGTCACTTCCATCACCACAAAGAGTTAAAGCAAGATGAAATGATCTAGCAACGGTAGTGACACAAGTGTTCTAAGCACTGCACCTGCATTAACTTGCTTAACCCTTACAACAGCCCTACGGTGTGGATACTGTCACCTTGTTTGGCAGATGAGGAAACTGAGGCACACAGCAGCTAGGAAGGAGCAGGGCTGGAATGAACGCAGGCAGGTTGGGCCGCAGAGCCCCTGCAATCGCTTTATCACATGGTGACAATAGGGAGGTTCCTTTCTGTTGGGATTATTTCTGCTTGAAAAGCTCAAGACTTTTAGCCTCATCACTGCTGGGCTCCACAGGAAGGCAGTGCCACATGCTGAGGCATGCTGGGAAAGGACTTTGTTCCATCCTGTTTTGTTGACATGCTCTTCATTTTAAGCCTGAAGCCCAAGCTTGCTGCAAAGAATTCAAACTGCAGAGAAAAACGCAGCCATGATACGGCCACGACTTCCTGAGCCCCCAGTGTTCGCTGTGCTTGGGGCTCTATGTGTGTCCTCACGTTTAACCTTCACCATGCCCGAACAGCCCCCACCTCACAGCTGAAGAAACTGAAGCCCAGAGTTGCTAACAAGATGCCCAAAGGGGGGCGCCTGGGTGGCGCAGTCGGTTGAGCGTCCGACTTCAG